TTAGAAAACCCTCTCGGATAGAATCACGGATTCGAGGGTCGAAATGCTATGGGATTTGGACAATTTTTGTATGGTTAGACTCGTGAGAAAGCGAGGATTCTGGAAATATAAATTTTACCCAATTCCGAGACGTGGGCCTGAGGGGTGTTTTGGTCATTTTACCTAATTCCGCATCTTAGCTTAGAATTTAATTATAGAATCAGTTATTTGAAGTGTTATTTACATTATGAAATTGAATTGAATAGATTTGGGCCTTTTGGAGTCGAGTACTCATGGCAAGAGCGTGGTTTCTAGTTGATTTGAGCCGGTTCGAGGTAAGTGGCTTGTCTAACCTTGTGGAGGGGACCTTCCCCTTAGGATATGATGTTTTATAATTGAAATGCCTTGTACGTGAGGTGACGAGCGTGTACTTGAGCTAATTGTTGAAAAACCCGATTTTATTTTTAGTATTTAAACTGTGTTCCTTTCCTTCCTGTTTATTCTATTTGCGGCTTTAGCCTGTTGTTAGTTTAGAAAAGCAAGTTTAGTTGACTTAATTTCCTTTTTGCTTAAACTGCTTTAATTGCATTACGTGAAGCATGTTAGACTAGGATTAACTGTTTACTTGATACGTATTTAGCATTTACTTGAGTATCCTTGTGTTGCTTCTGTGTGTTTTAATTTGGGACTACGGGATGGCATCCCGGGAGATCCCCTGTACGTATTTATGATTTGGACTGAGGTGCGGGATACTAAGAGATCCCTGGCATATATTGAGGATACCAAGAGATCCTCCGGATACCAAGAGATCCCTAGTGTGTATATATATTGAGGATACCAAGAGATCCTCGGGATACCAAGAGATCCCCGAGATATATTGAGGGTACCAAGAGATCCTCGGGATACCAAGAGATCCTAGTGTATATGTATTGAGGATACCAAGAGATCCTCGGGATACCAAGAGATCCCTGATTATTATCCCTGTTGTGAGTGGTGTTACCTAGTGATTTGTCTTTAAATTTTGTTTCCGTTATTGTACTTTTATTATCCTGTATAGACTCTTGCTGTAGATTCTCAATTGCACTGCTTATCTTATCCTGTCACTTTAATATTATTTAATCTCAGTAGGGCCATGACCTTCCTCGTCACTACCCAACCGAGGTTAGGCTTGGCACTTACTGAGTACCGTTGTGGTGTACTCATGCCCCTTCTGTGCATGTTTTTCATGTGCAGCTCCAGGTACTTTCGCTCAGTCTTATCATCCTTGAGGCGAGGCGCTTCTGTAGAGACTTCAAGGTATATCTGCCGCGTCCGCAGACCGTGGAGTCTCTTTCTATTTTTGTTGTTTAGTATTAGCCCTTCTGTATTTTCCGTTCTGGTTAGACATTCTGGAGTTAGCGCTGTGTAGTACTTCTTAGCTTGTGATTCATGGGTTTCCGGGTCTTGGATTTATGTTTTGGTCTTGAGCGTTAAACATGGTGTTTGTCGAGCGGCACATTTACACACTGGTTAATTCTTATTTCTATTTTAAATTGTTTTACTTCTGCAAATTTTTGGTTTCTTTTTCCGCAATTTAGGCTTACCTAGTCATAGAGACTAGGTGTCGTCACGATGGTTCACGGAGGGCGAACCGGGGTCGTGACATTGTGCTACATCCCACGCCTCCTGCATGGGCTCGAACTACGAGACCCGGATCGCCTAAAATTTTACCGCCCATTTAAAACGACCTAAGGAACAATAGTCACTGCCTCTCCATGACCATTACTCATTTTTTGCATTTTAGGGCCACAAAACAGGAATTCCGCCTGATTCCCAAATTTTTGTGTGCTATAGCCCATGCCTCCTACATGGGCCCGGGCGAACGGACCCGAATCGCCTAAAATTTTACCGGCCCATCAAATTCAAATTTATGCATCATGTGTCATAAATATAAATAAAAAGACCGTCTTAAAGTAGATTGATTTACATATGGAGAAATTCTATTGAAAGATGAATACCTTGAAAAAATAGAATTATCTCTCATGCCATGTAGAAGTTTATTATGTCATGTCTTTCTAATAAATGACATCATATTTTCTTAAAACCTTTTTCCTTGCTATCAAGTAATCGAAGTGAAGTTTTGCTCTATTTTTTCGAATCCAGTATTCTATTATGAGAATTCTAGGCAACGAGTAGTTTAAAAATATTAAAATAATTTTTTTCAAGTGCAAATACTTTAAAATCTATTTTTGAATTACTTATTTTATATAATGGCCATACGAAATTCTACTAATTTTGAAGAGAAATGTATTTGGTATCCTCATGGTATTGGTAATGGACTAATGTTATATATTTGACCAATTTGTAGTGATATTTGACTCTATTAATTTTAAAAACGCTTTGGCGGCGACCCAAGTCGCCACTATATGTTATATTTCGCAACTGATAGGGTTGCCTTTTTCATTAGCGACCAAAACTGAGGGTTTTGGGCGACTTCAATCGCCACTAAAGGTCTGTATAGTTGCCACTAAAACTCGAAGTGCATTTTCTTAGTTTCTTTACTTTTTCTACTATTTTCAGCAAGTTTAATCGCCACCAAATAAATATTTTGGTAGCGAATGCGGCAATTCGTCATAAATAAGATTCGACTACGAAAGTATTTGACTAGTTATTTTATTTTAGGGAAGGAGAGGAGCTTCGTTTTTTTTTTTTTAAATCACTCTAAAACAACAAAATATTATTATATTATGTAACAAAACTAGCAACTCATGTCAATGTTTTAGCTTGAAGGAGAGCTCTAATCAACTTCTGTTTAATTAATTCGTCTTGATAGCAGTAGGTTATCGGTAGGTAAAAATTTATCCACACCGAATATTTATTTATATGCCTGCCCTGCTTTTCGTCTCCTAAAGCTCCTGAGTTCATCTCCACATCATAGAACCACATATATAGTGGCAAAGTTGTGTCTTCTTTTCACTCAGCAGCATCCCCCCCCCCCCCCCCAAACACACATACAAGAGAACCTTATAATACATAAAAGAAATTAAAATACAACACTCTTTGACTAGGTGTAGTGAAAGGCAAATACAATACTCTTATAATAGTGGATTCTATTGTATGCATACATTTTAAAGTTGTTCTAAATATGTATACATAATTCGAGTCAAAAACAATAATTTTAGCTGACCTCACAGAATAAGCCCAAGATCCACGTCTTGATATAATCTACAAATAGTTTTTAGGGATAAGGCAAAATTCGTTTTTCTTATGCATGGTAATTCCTGGCCTCACATTTGTGTCAATGTCTTCTTTTTTCACTCCATAAGGTAACTCCCAATCAAATGCATAAAGAAGATTTGACAGAGCAAGTTCCATGGATGCAACCCCACGTGCAATACCTGCAGAGACGGATTCAAGATTTAATCTTTATAAATTGAAGAATCTGAGCTTTTTGAAAATATGTATATTAGTTAGCAGCTGTAAATATTTTTTGGCCGAGCGACAAAATGTGTAACTTTCCCTAAAAAATTTGTGGGTTCAATTGAATACCTGGGCAACCTCTTCTACCTGCACCAAATGGAAGTAACTCAAAATCTTGACCCTTGTAATCGATATCGCTATTCAAGAATCTCTCAAGTATAAATTCATCTGGATTTTCCCATATTTCAGGATCCCTCGCAATAGCCCAAGCGTTAACATGAACTATGGTTCCTGGTCGAATTTCGTAACCTTCTAATATTGTTTTTCCATTGATTCTCTTGGAACTAGAAGTGGAACTGGTGGATACAATCTAAATATTTCCTTTATCACTGCTTTGAGATAAGGCATGTTTTGGATATCTTCTTCATTTACAATGCCTTTCTTCCCAACTGATTTTCTAATTTCTGTTTGAACTTTTTTCATGGCTTTTGGATTCTTTATCAAGGCTGTCATTGCCCAAACAGTTGCAGCTGCACTAGTGTCTGATCCTGCAACTAACACATTCTACAAGAAAAAGAAAATAAAAGTTGTAAATTCATGAGAAATTCTCAAGGCAATAACAAACACGTTGATTTTCCGAAAAATATTTTATGTCATACCAAACACACCCTAAAAGTAGCAAAATCAATCCATCTTTTAGTTATCCGCCCAACCAAGTTTAAAGGGGTTGGGTGTTGACCAATTTGTTGACTTGACCCGGGAGCTTAACCTTGAAATGACTCATCAAACTATTAGGTTAAAAAGGATCAATTAGTGTAACTTGATGGTCAAATTGCAAACCAAAATCAAACATACAAAATCAACTTTGGAGATTAAGAATTATGAAGATTTGTAAGAACTTAAACTAATAACTTAAGAAAAATAAGTCTAACTTTCAATATTTAATCAAAAAAGCAAAATAAAAAAGGAGGGTAGGTTCGGTCATGTTGAGCATATCGGGTTTTGACTCATCATTTGACTTATCTTGATCCAAACCCATTTTGATTCAATTAAACTTTGGGTGGCTTGGATCACAGCATGTTTTGACCTTTTTCATGTATGGTCCAATCTGCCCATTTAACATTTCTACATGCGTACGCATGTAGATATACATACGCATATACATATATAGCGTATGTGCGCGATCTCGTCTAAAGTAGGTAAATTAGGAAAATTACCACGAGAAGTCCTTTTATATCCTCCATAGTAAGATCAATAGGTGTTGATTGCTCTTTCTTCAACTGTAGCAAAAGATCAACAATATCTCCTTCCATATATTTTGGCCTATTGGGATTGAGATGTTGCTCAATGAGTTCTTCATAAAAATTATCCAAATCCTTGAAATTCCTCTGAAGTCTATATGTCAATCCACTTAATTTATCCATCCAACTTAAAAATGGAAAGAAATCAGAGACAAAGAAACTAGCTATCATTCCTTGTGCCTCAGCCAAAAGAAAATNGTGTCTTCTTTTCTACTTCAGCAGCATACCCCCCCACCCCCCCCCCCCCGCCAAACACACATACAAGAGAACCTTATAATACATAAAAGAAATTAAAATACAACACTCTTTGACTAGGTGTAGTGAAAGGCAAATACAATACTCTTATAATAGTGGATTCTATTGTATGCATACATTTTAAAGTTGTTCTAAATATGTATACATAATTCGAGTCAAAAACAATAATTTTAGCTGACCTCACAGATTAAGCCCGAGATCCACGTCTTGATATAATCTACAAATAGTTTTTAGGGATAAGGCAAAGTTCGTTTTTCTTATGCATGGTAATTCCAGGCCTCACATTTGTGTCAATGTCTTCTTTTTTCACTCCATAAGGTAACTCCCAATCAAATGCATAAAGAAGATTTGACAGAGCAAGTTCCATGGATGCAACCCCAAGTGCAATACCTGCAGAGACGGATTCAAGATTTAATCTTTATAAATTGAAGAATCTGAGCTTTTTGAAAATATGTATATTAGTTAGCAGCTGTAAATTTTTTGGCCGAGCGACAAAATGTGTTAACTTTCCCTAAAAAAGTTGTGGGTTCAATTGAATACCTGGGCAACCTCTTCTACCTGCACCAAATAGAAGTAACTCAAAATCTTGACCCTTGTAATCGATATCGCTATTCAAGAATCTCTCAGGTATAAATTCATCTGGTTGTTCTTTGGAGATTGAGAATTATGAAGATTTGTAAGAACTTAAACTAATAACTTAAGAAAAATAAGTCTAACTTTCAATATTTAATCAAAAAAGCAAAATAAAAAAGGAGGGTAGGTTCGGTCATGTTGAGCATATCGGGTTTTGACTCATCATTTGACTTATCTTGATCCAAACCCATTTTGATTCAATTAAACTTTGGGTGGCTTGGATCACAGCATGTTTTGACCTTTTTCATGTATGGTCCAATCTGCCCATTTAACATTTCTACATGCGTACGCATGTAGATATATACATACGCATATACATATATAGCGTCTGTGCGCGATCTCGTCTAAAGTAGGTAAATTAGGAAAATTACCATGAGAAGTCCTTTTATATCCTCCATAGTAAGATCAATAGGTGTTGATTGCTCTTTCTTCAACTGTAGCAAAAGATCAACAATATCTCCTTCCATATATTTTGGCCTATTGGGATTGAGATGTTGCTCAATGAGTTCTTCATAAAAATTATCCAAATCCTTGAAATTCCTCTGAAGTCTATATGTCAATCCACTTAATTTATCCATCCAACTTAAAAATGGAAAGAAATCAGAGACAAAGAAACTAGCTATCATTCCTTGTGCCTCAGCCAAAAGAAAATCAAATCTCTTCCTTTCATGTGCTTCTTCTTCAAACCTAACACCAAAAGCAACTCTACAAATAATTGTACTAATTAATGAAATCATTAAATTACTCAAATTAGTAATTTGTGAAGTAGAAGCTTGTTTTGATATTTTCTTAATCATTCTAAAAACTTCATCTTCACGAATTGGACTAAATAATTCAACTTTTTTTAAACTAAAAAGATGAAGAACACAAATTTTTCTCATTTGTCTCCAATAATCATTATAAGGTGCAAAAGCAATATCACGACCATAGTAAGATAATTTTTGTTGGCCAAGAATAGATGGTCTACTACAAAATATTAAATCTTGTGTTTTCAATACTTCTTTTGCTAATTTTGATGAACAAACTACAACCATTTGAGAAGAAGCTAGTTTTAAGGAGAAGATTTTTCCATATTTTTTTGAAAGTTTCCAAAAATAGAGATGAGGGTTTAAAGTATCATATTGATGCAAATTTCCAATGAATGGTAAGCCTATAGGACCTGGTGGCAGTGTGGTTTTTCCACCATTTTTGGATTTAGAAAAAAGGAAAATAAGAATGAAAGGAAGAGCTACAAAGAGTAGAAAGAGCATTATCATTTTGTTTTTCTAACTGTCTAGTCATATGAAATATCTTTTATAGATGGTTCTTATGTTAAACCTTTCCTTTTTTTTTATTGAAGATTTAACTTCATTCGATGTGGGTCTAAACAAACTTCTATTTGGAAAATTTCCAGGAAACTGTAATAGCCCAGCCCACTAGTGATATTGTTCGCTTTGGGTCTAGACCCGTACAGCTTTAAAACGCGTCACTAGAGTCTAAGGCATGTCTACTTATATACCCAACATCTCTCTCGTGTTTTGTCGAAGTGGGATTCGCCTAGGGTGTCACATACATACCCCCCCCCCCTATGGACTCAGCGTCCTCGCTATGGTTTGCCTCACCGCCGTTCAAGGTTGCACGCGGAGTGGCCTGATATATACCATATGTAACAGCCCAGTCCACTAGTGATATTATCTACTTTGGGCCTAGCCTCACACGACTTTAAAACGCGTTGCTAGAGTCTAAGGCATGTCTACCTATATACCCAGCATATCTCCCGTGTTTTGTCAACTTGGGATTCGCCTAGGGTGTCACAGGAACTCGTAGCCACTACTCTTTGGGTCCATTCTAGGTAACCCGTTCACTATGCAATAGCTGGCAAACCACATAAGATATGTAAGCAAATTTTTATATTATCAGATCACGTAAAAAATAAGTCCACTGTTCAATTAATGAAACTAGTTTTCTAAAAAAATAAGTTAGACAACTTACTGCAAGAAAATAAATTATACTAATTATGCTAAATGAAATTAAATTATACTAATTGTGCTAAATCTCTATAGTGTTGGTGTATAAAAATAAAATGCTTAATTAAAATAAGTGTGGTAAAAGGAGGACTTCGATTATTATTGGTGGATGATGAATCTTTTTATTGAAATGTGTTGCTAAGAAGAAATATAATACCATGCCTAGGTTTTGTGACTAAAATTTTTTATCTCACGACCTCAATTTTTAATCATATTTTAACTAGTATTTCTTTGTTTTTTTTTCAACGCATCACTATATAGTTTAATAACTCTATGCCAGTTGTTAGCCCATAAAAATATGAACAAGTGGAAAAAAAAATATAAACAAGTGGATTCAGTTGCTTTCCAGGTGAAGTTTAGCTTTCTTTGTATTTTTCATGTTTTTTGCTACTTGTATCATTTTATACGAAACATACAATGTACTCCTAAAATGGAAATATAAATTGAAGTGGGAGCAAATCTTTGTGAAATAATGGCAGTACCGATCACTCAAATCAATTTTAATGCGCAACTAGATATAGATTTAGAATTTAAATTCTACGGGGTTCGCTTTTAAGATTCTTACCATTAAATTCATTGTATTTCTAAAATTATATATTCATATCAACTATTTATTATAATTTTAACGAATTTTATACATAATTTTATGTTTTATAAAAGTTACGAGATCAGTTAAATTCTTCAACTACTGATCTTTTCATTTTTCTCTCTCGATAGCAACAAGAAACCTCCAAAACAAATTAAGATACGTAATTGATAAAAGTGGTACTTACATACACCCTAGAATGTCATAGGTTATGAAACATGAAATAGAAAAATCATATACCTAGATAATTAAAGCTTGAAAATGAAACTTTTGTAAAGAATAGCAGAAGAAGAGTATTATTTGGAGACCTTCTACTAGCCCAAAATCGTTAACTAAGATTGGAGGATTCAATTAAAGAAGAGGAAGCTTGAAAAGAGAAGAGAGATTTTTGATAGGGAGAACTTTGTTATTGAAGAAGACTTTCTTGAATTTGGCTTGATTACAAATGAACAAGACACCCCCTATTTATACTAGCCTATGGATGATTCTAGATAATGTACAAGGAAGATTCTAGATAACCTTTTCTTCTAACAACACTCTAGAATATCTAGATATGTCTACTAGATAACCTTATCTTCTCACAACATTCTAGAACACCTAGATGTGTCTACTAAATAAATATCAAGGCTACTACACTAGGACATTCTAGAGAAATCTATGTTCTTCCAAAAAATCAACTTTACTTTATTTTTCTCACACTCCCCCTTAAAGTGATTTTTTGGAAGCTATCCCACGCTTGTCACGGAAGAACTCAACCGATTCTTTAGGACGTGTCTTGGTGAAGATCTGAAAACCATTTCTCTGGCTTCTCTTTCTTCCTAATGATTGAAGGTTCTTCCATTGGTCCTGCAAAGAAACATGAGTATGTGCTGACAAAATTTTCATCTCTAAAACGAGCTGGCTTGATAATAGTTCTTTTTGGCCTTCCCAAACCACTTAAATCATCTTCTTGCTGAGTTTCATGTTGTTGAGGTCCAGGACTCCCCCTTTCTCTTAACTCCTCGGCAGCTGTATTATTTAGAGAAGCACCTGCAATGGGCAAGCTTGAATTTCCATTATTTAAGGTTTTTGAACTCGCTCCATCCAATGCAGCTCCATAATACAAAGACACTTCGTCGAATATGACATCCCTTGAGACACCAAAGAGATGGGTTTTTGGATCCATGCACTTCCATCCCTTTTTTCTTTCATCATATCCAACAAAGATGCATTTCCTTGCCTTGGCATCCAACTGCTCCATTGAGAATCTGGAATGTGAACATAACAAATAGAGCCAAAAACCCTGAGGTGTTTCACGCTAGGCTTTTTGCCAAACATTAATTCATAGGGAGACTTCATATTGTTTGGAGAAAGCGACATCCTATTAATCACGTACACTGCACATTTCATGCCTTCAGCCCACAAGGCTCTAGATAAATTCTTGGATGAAGCCAACTCTTACATGTCTCAGTTAAGTGTCGGATCTTCCTTTCAGCCACTCCATTTTGTTGTGGCGTATCAGCGCATGTCAGCTCTCTTTTAATGCCATGCTGACGACAAAAGGAATGAAACTCATCTCAAGTGAACTCACCACCAATATCAGTTCACAACCGCCTTATTATGGAAACGAGTTCACCTTCAACTGTTTCTTTGAACTCCACAAACTTACTGAAAACTTCTGACTTGTGCTTCACAAAATAAACCCCAGTGAATCTAATAAAATCATCAATGAAAATTAGCATATAAGAGTAGTCTGAGAATGAAGGAGTTCTCGTTGGCCCCATCAAGTCACTGTGAATAAGTTCTAGTAGGGCATTGCACCTTGACAAGGATCTGTCAAATGGAAGACGATGTGCCTTTCCATATTGATATCCTTCACAAACCTCTCCTCGACCAAAATTTTTTAAGTTAGGTAATCCTTTTACTAGATTCAATTTTACCATCGCTTTTAATTTATCCATGCTAAGATGTCCAAGTCTAGCATGCCAAATATGTGTGTTATCCTCGCTACTCATCTAATATATGAATTAGAGGCTGATAAGACATATAAATCGTTAACACTCTTACCTAAGTGAATGATATCTTCCTTAAGAACCTTGTTATTTTGGAGGAACTTCACATCACGTGGGCCAAATAGCAAATAGTTTCCAGCATCTACAGCATTTGCAACTGAAAATAGATTTTTCTTCATTCCTGGAACATGAAAGACATTATTGAGGGTGATAGTGTCTTTATGCTTCTCGTTGATCACAATAGTGCCTTCCTTCTCCACATTATTGAATGTATTATCTGATGTTTCAATGACATCATGTCCGTTGTATTCGCAAAAGATGGAGAATTTGGATTGATCTCCAGTGAGATGGTGCCCACATCCTGAATCCACGATCCAGTCTCTTTCAAAATTTATGGAAGCCATGGCATTTATTGCTTGGGTCTCCGCTGCGAAGTACTTTCCCCAGTCTTCTTCTTTTTCTTCTTTTTCTTGTTCTTCTTCAACAACTTTCTTAGTTTTAGCCATATTGCTCTCTTTGGCTCGACAATATCTTTTTATGTGTCCGAATTTGCAACAAGGGTAACATTTTAAAAGATTTTTACCATTATTGGAAGACTCCCCCTTCTTCCTGGCGAACTTGAACCACTTGAGGATTGAAAGTACATGCTATTTCTTGATTTCCCTTTAAAGTTCCTCTTATCGACGACAAGAGAATTTCCT